ACTATTTTGTTACGTTTTGTTCCAAAAATGTTGGATGTCTCTTGGGAGTTGCTTGTTTTGTCTTATGCAGGAGTTGTATATATGGTTTGATTATGTTTCATTCTCAGTTTATTCTGAACTTGCCAAGATTAAGAAAAGGCAAAAGAGTTTGGGTGTTCTTAAAGGCCGGCGCACACTAGAGCTATGTGCTTAGCAAAATGTCATTCGTGACTGTTGGCGTAAGGAGATAGCTCTCGTGTGCGGGCGATTTACGAACGACTTTTGTCATTCGTGCCACTTACGCCAAATATCTAACATGTTTGATAATTTCTGCCTCGCGTGCCAAAATCTTTCCGTGTGCGGCGAACGAAAGCTATCTGCTTACGGATTGTCGTAACAGCGCATGCGTAGTATACGAAAGTAAACATCCAAGATGGCGGCGCAAAATGAATTGCTGGCCAAGGCAATTTTAGAGGACAAACTTGTCGAACTTTGGCCTGAATACAAATGTTTATACGATGTGAGTTCTGCAGATTTTAGAAATAGGGACAAAAGGGAATGTGCGGTGAAAGAAATAGCCAGTAAGTTTGTCCTCTAAAATTGCCTCGGCCAGCAGTTCATTTTGCGCCGCCATCTTGGATGTTTACTTTCGTATACTACGCAGGCGCTGTTACGACAATCCGTAAGCAGATAGCTTTCGTTCGCCGCACACGGAAAGATTTTGGCACGCGAGGCAGAAATTTTCAAACATGTTAGATATTTGGCGTAAGTGGCACGAATGACAAAAGTCGTTCGTAAATCGCCCGCACACGAGAGCTATCTCCTTACGCCAACAGTCACGAATGACATTTTGCTAAGCACATAGCTCTAGTGTGCGCCGGCCTTAACAAGATTTCAGAATGTTGCAGAAGTTAGAAGAGCTTCGCAATTCCATTGTGACAGCATGCCCTAATTCAGAACTACGAACGACCATGACGATCCTTCGCGATGCAGTGGTCTCATGAAATAAGGAAACGTATTCGTGCTAGGAACACACGCGGATTTCGGACGAATAAATCTTGCTTGTATTTTGTAGATAATAATACTTTGTTTCATAATAAACAATTTGTCATGTGTCATTTATTTACTGGTAATAGTGCATGTTAAATTTTAGTCGGGCAAATCTTGATTAATATTTGATACTCCGTTTTTTGCATATTTTAGAAACATCCAGAAATATGCTCCCGATTTTAAACATTAATATCTCCATGAATTTTTCAATCAAATACAACTGTAATATATGAAAATCTAAGTTAACCCTTCCCCTATTTGATGCAAGTCATTTCTCTTTAAAAGCTTTACTTGTTTAGAAGCTATTACGAATCAAACCGGAGTACTTTTTTTTGGGACACCCGGTACAGCTACTGTTTTGAAAAAGTAGTCAAAAACTACTGGCTACTTGAAAATTGTAGTTCGCTACAGTAGCCAACTACAACTACTTCGCTACTACCCACCCTTGGATTTTTTCACTTGTATTCTAAAAGCTCACTCACACTCAAAGAGTGGAGGTTCAATCTAAGCTTCCCTTGAATGTCATTGCTGTTTTTGAATAGCTGGAGGGTGAGTAGTCACATTCCAGCTATTAAAAAACAGCACTGACACTCGAGGGAAGCTCAGATTGAACCTCCACTCATTGAGTGTGAGTGAGCTTTTAGAATACGGGCGTAAATGTTTGAAGTGTAACACTAGTCGTTACTTACGTTCTAAACTAACTTGTTGTTTTTAGTCTCCTGTCCATGTACTGTATGTTATCATAATTGTGCGTATTTTTGTACAAAGGGCCCACAGTAATTGGTTTACACTGTTGTGGTGTCCCTGCCATTCTTGTTCATGTTTATTGTCTAGATGTCTATTCTGTTACCTGGTTTTGGCAAAGTTTAACCCATTGAGTCGCAATGCGCCCCAGTGCGACCTACTTAGTTTTTTACTTGTCTAACGCCAGACGATTTTACTCGTCAATGGGTAAGCTCTGCAGCTTAATGGTCAATAAATAAAATCTTCTCGTTTTAGGTTTCTGTGACTTTGAATATCCGGAATACTGTTTCTGGAGAAATGACGTCACCGAGGACAACATGGATTGGTTGGTTGGGAAAGGTGCCACGCCATCACAGTACACTGGGCCAACGAGAGATCATACCACTGGAGGAATATTTGGTGAGAAAAATTTCCTCAAAACAATACCGGTGAAATAATTTTAGAAGCAATTCTACTTAATTTGTGTATTTTCAAAGATGCTGTAACGTCCGTTCTGCGCATCAGTTCTGCTCATAACAAAGAGGGACCCGCAGATCCCGCAGATATAAACAAATTGCCCAAATTTTGAATCTTTCGAACTTTATTGAATTTAAACGTAGAATTTATATTCATTTACAAGCATAGCGAACCAGAAAAGTGTTAGATATTCAGTTAGTATATCATTTTTTACAAGTATAGCAGTTCAAAATGTAAACAACGCGATTGGTTCAACTGGTGCAGCTTTAATAATGGATTAATGCAAGTCAGACATACATTAGTCCGAAAGTTTGATAGTTTAATAGCCAAAATTTCTATGTCACATATTTGCGATGCGTTCAAAACCGAAAATCTTTTTGGGGTGTACCTTTCAAAATTGCTTTGTTTTAGCTTTATTCTCTTGTTTATACAGTTAGCTACCTTTTTAAAAACCCCATCTTAACAAGATATTTAACCCATAAAGTTGCACTGTGTGTTAATACGCTCTACTTTATTGTTTTATTCTGTATAACGGCAGATTATTTTACTCGTCAAAGTGGGTAACAAATTCATTTAAAAAACATGAAAATTTTCTTCTCATTTGTCAGGCCAGTACATGTTCGTCGAAGCCAGTTTCGCTACTGTTGGACATAAAGCTCGTCTTGTCACGGGACGTTTCCACGCCACCACGGGGAATGGTTTCTGTATTAAGTTCTGGTATAATATGTACGGGGTTAACATTGGTACCCTGAACGTCATCGTTAAAAATAGAGCAGGAAATGCCACCGAGAGAATACTGTGGAGTCTGAGCGGAAATCAGAAATGGGGTTGGAGACAAGGACAAGCTCCGGTTGTCAGCAGCAGAGATAGTTATCAGGTGAGGATATGAATGGTTCTAGCTATAGACTAAATTTTGATCAAGGCAAGAAGAACAAAATCCATCACCACGGCTAGAAAGAGCATGTTAAAATTAGTAAAATTGGTTGCGAAATGTTGTAAAATGAGGAAAATATAACGCTACGAAATTTGCAAATTTTGTATTAATATTTATAGAACCATGGATAATAAAATAAATGGATAGGAAACTAGCTGACGTGACCTAATGTTTTCAATCGGCTGATGGCGTGATTGGATGTTGAAACCTAGTTGCAAACCAAATTCTCAAAAACGGCATGTTTAGCAATAATACAGCTAAACATTTTAGTCAAAGAGCAAATGAATATAACTACGCCATTCTACGATGAAATCTCTAAGTATTCCCAGTCAATTTTAGCAAATATTTCAAGCACTAAACAGTGAAAAATGCATCCCAAATTTCGTTAAAATTGGGGACGCCAATTTCGTAGCTACAAATGTAAAAAAAAATACAAAACAAAGACGAAAAACATTTACCTTGAATACTTTGTCGTGGCTTAGGCATGTTTTTAAAACAATTAGACCGGTTTATGCTTCAATATTACTCTTTTAAGGCGGAAAGTATAGCGAAACAACAAAAATGCAGAGAACTTTGGCAATACGCGTGACGTCACAGATTGCAACTAGGTTGTTTTTGCTTACGTCAGCTAGAGTCCTATCCATTTATTTTATTTTCCATGGTATTACACACACGGGAAAATGCATCACTTTCGGCCCAAATGTGATGCATTGTCCAACATGTTACTGGAATGGAAGATATATAAAATTATATATAAGATTCCGCTCGACATTTCTATCGATAAATATCCATATGTATCTAGCGAGATGCCGACAAATCACGGTAAAGAAGATTTTTTGTTTTCTCTAGGTCGTATTTGAAGCGATATTAGCAGGAGGTGTCCGAGGTGACATCGCTATAGATGACATTACTTACATTTCTGGCACCTGCACCGTCTCACCGAGCACCGCCTTGCCTGTGAAACCCACCACAAAACCTGCTACACCGATCCCTACCACTCCAGGTATGCATACAGATCTTTCGAGTTTTGCTGTAAAAAAAAAATCAGTTGAGGAACACTCAATAACCTCATTTTATATTTAGTTTATAAGTAGCACACCTTTCTATGCCTAACGCCTGGATTCTAAAAGCTCACTCACGCTCACATTCAAAGAGTGGAGATTCAATCTGAGCTTGCCTTGAGTGTCAGTGCTGTTTTTTTGAATAGCTTGAGGGCGAGTAGTCGCATTGTAAGGCACGACACTAACGCCCGTATTCTAAAACCTCACTCACACTCAATGAGTGGAGGTTCAATCTGAGCTTCTCTTGAGTGTCAATGCTGTTTTTGAATAGCTGGAGGGTTAATGTCGTACCTTACTATGTGAATAAACATGAAGTGTTGGTTCCTCTTTACAAGGCCTTTGTGAGGCCCCATCTGGAGTATTGTGTGCAAGTTTGGTCCCCGGTAGCAAAGCATGGTAATTGGAGTATAATTATGGCAATTGAAAAATGTCAAAGGGATTTTACTAGAATAATTCATGGTATGGGTTTTCTCAGCTATAGTGAGAGACTTCAAAAGCTGGGACTGACAACACTTCTCGAACGTAGAATGCGGGGTGATCTTATTGAAGCATACAAGATTATTAACGGACATGTTAACTATGGCCATCAAATGTTTAACCATAATTTGCATTATAGTACTCGTAATTTATGCAATGTATCATCCTGTAGGACCAGATTTGCGTTGGATTGTTTTAGCGTAAGAGTAATTAAGTATTGGAACAATTTACCAAACTCTGTTAAGTATGCACCTAGTGTAAACGCCTTTAAGGCAGGTCTTGATGATCTAAAAAGTTATAACCCGGATTCTTGTCACGGATATTGGTATTTATCGCAAGAAATCTTTAACAGAATTCCGGATAAGAATGACCATGTTACTTATCTTAAATTGCATCCAGAGGTTGCTATGCGAAGACATATTTCTTGTTTCTAATTTTTTATAATTGTAATATATATCATTGTAAGATTTATATTTCTGTAATTTTCTTAGATGCATGAGTTGCCCGGAGAGGCATAATTAAATCTTATCTTATCACCCTTCAGCTATTAAAAAACAGTATTAACACTCGAGAAAAGCTCAGATTGAACCTTCACTCATTGAGTGTGAGTGTGAGTGAGCTTTTAGAATACGGGCGTAACTATCCATGCAGTATTGACACTCAAGGGAAGCTCAGATTGAACCTCCACTTTTTGAGTCTCAGCGTGAGTGAGCTTTTAGAATACAGGCGTAAGACTTAGACACATACACTATTTAAATTTATGCGCCAATGGGTTCTCTAAAGAAAGTCTACGGTACAGTAGTGTAATGAATCTAAGCCGTATGTTGTGGTATAGACTAAGTATGAGGGTAGTCTAACAGGGCAATTTAAGGCAGTGTCTAAGGTTAGCTGAAGGTAATCTAAGGCACCTCAAAAATAGTCCACGGTGATCAAAGATAGACTGAGTTAATCTAAGTTAACTTAGGATGAAGACATTAATTATACATTCTTCATATATCATAACGCTCGGAGACTTCTTTGAACTGGGTCTGTTTGTTGTTTTTTGTGTTTTTTTTTGGGTCGTAAAACCTGTATGTAAGGCTTTTTCCTCTACCTCAGATTGGCAAACATATTAAACTAAACTAATCTAGACAAAATATAAACTACACTTTGGTCATATGTTTTTTAGGCCGTGGGCAGTTCGATTGCAACTTTGAGTCTGGTTTCTGTACCTGGAGTCAGGGAGCTGGAGCACGATTCAACTGGACTCGCCAACAAGGGAAAACTTCTTCTATAAACACAGGACCTTCTCAAGATCATACCCTGAAAAATAGTATGTTTTTCGTTCCATTTCAAGGCCAGAAATTACGGACATGATTATTCCCTTGCCTTAGGCCCGGTTTAGACGGCGAACTTCTCATGCGCCGAATCTAATTGTCGTAGATACGGCAAAATATGGGAAACTGATTTAGACGTCGAACTTAATTGCACCGTACCAAATTGCGAAGACATTATATTGGAAATATTTACAATGCAAATATTTGATAATCATATTATGATGTTAAAAAATAATTATGCATTAGGTTCGGCGCATGAAAAGCACGGCGTCTAAATCAATGTCGAATCTGTGTCGCATATACGACTTGTCCTGTCGCATCTTCGAGTCGTGTCGAACTTAATCAAAACCTGCCGAACTTAATTGATTTAGACGCCGCTCCAACGTCGCACTTAATCCTTGCAGTAGATTCGGCGCATGAAAAGTTCGCCGTCTAAACCGGGCCTTACTAACTTGGATATCATCGATGCATAACCCCGTTGAAATATGGCTTCTGCAGTAAAATCGCAAAATAGAAAACTAAAAAATAGAAATAGAAAAAAGAAATAAAAAATTATAATAAACATTATAATAAATATTTATTTTTATTTTTTTTTTTATTTTATTTTTTTTAATTTATTTTTTTATTTTTTATTATTATAAATATTTCTGTAATAGAAAAATTTAGTGTAATGTTTGCCGAGTTTAAGTTGCTGTCTATTCTGCATTTTCGTTTGTTCCTAATACTTATTCTTATATAGAGTTGAATGGACAAATGTCGTAAAACTAACCTATGTACAAATATTGAAAATGCAGAATAGGCAGTAACTGAAACCAGGCCAACATTACACAAAACGACCTACTTTAGTCTCGACCTACTTTAGTCTCAGATTTTGCGATTAACAACGTCAGGTTATATAATTCACTGTTTACTGGTGAAGCCATATACAAATTACTGAGGATGTGTTGAAGCCATATTCCAACCTGATATACAAATTACTAAGGATGTGGAATAGACTGGGGGAGGGGTCAGGGCTCCTCACTCCCCTCCCTGGCTACGCTTATATGACTGATAAAATTATCTACTAGAAGCAAACCAAGCTTACTTAAATCTTTCAGACAACGGTAGCTACATTTATGCTGAGGCATCAAGTCCTCGCAGACCCGGAGACAAAGCAATCTTGGTGAGCCAACAAGTACCAGCAAACAGCCGACCTGGAAACTGTATCATATTTTGGTACCATATGTTCGGAGCACACGTTGGTGCTCTTAATCTTTACATCCAGACAGGCAGTGGTGCGCTACCGAAACCCACGTGGACAAGAAATGGAACTCAAGGCAACGAGTGGAAGAGGGGAATGGTATTTTACCCATCTATTCAATCCAGCAAGGTAAGGAGCTAAGATAGGTTACTGTAAGGTGGGCTCGGTGCTGTCATGCAACTGAGAAGATTGCCAAGGGGGAGTAATTCGTATACATAGGTACAGGAGGTACCATAGACGGTTTTCGAGGGGAGATAATAATATTATACTTTTTATTTGTGGAAACGTAAATTTATTATTGCATAATATAACAATAATAATAAACTTTATTTATATAGCGCACAAATCCAAGTTGTTCAAGGTGCTTTGCATTTTTTAGGTTTCCTCCTGTAGTAACACTGGATCAATGAGAGATGAAACTTACTAGACCTCTAGGGAGAACAATTTAGAACTGATAGAGCTATCCAGCATCAATAAAGTTAGTTTAGTTTAAGTTCCCTCCTGTGGTAACACTGGATCAATAAGAGATGGCTCTTACTAGGCCTCTAGAGAGAACAATTTAGAACTGTCCAGTATAATAAAGTTAGTTTAGTTTAGGTTCCCTTCTGTAGTAACACTGGATCATTCAGAAATAGCCTAACTGGATCGCTAGGGAGAACAGCTTAGAACAGATAGAGTTATACATTATAAATAAAGTTTGTTTAGTAGTTAGGTCAGACAACACTAATTCCCACTCATGGTTGAAATTTTGATTTATGTTCTATAGATTTTATTCGAAGCTGTTCGTGGTAGGTCATATGCTGGAGACATCGCCTTAGATGATCTGCAAATAAAAAGTGGTTTCTGTCCTCCAGCTGATGCCTGTTCATTTGAACAAAATAATCTGTGTGGCTGGAAGAATGAACCAACCAAGGATGACTTCGATTGGACAAGAGCAACTGGTGGAACTGCTTCTGTGAATACTGGACCATCTGCCGATCACACGTTTGGTACATCCAAAGGTTAGTGGTGTTTATGATCATGGTGGTAATGGTGATAGTGATGATGATGGTGGTGGTTGTGGTGGCGGTAATGTGGTGATGGTGCTGGTAGTACTAGTAGTGATGGTAATGGTGATTGTTATGATGGTGGTGGTTGTGGTGGTGATGGTGCTGGTAGTAGTGATGGTGGTGATTATGATGGTGATGACGTCGTGATGGGGCGCTGGTAGTAGTGATGGTGATGGTTATGATGGTGGTGGTTGTGGTGGTGATGACGTGGTGATGGTGACATGGTGATGGTGCCGGTAGTAGTAATGGTGGTGGTTATGATGGTGGTGGTTGTGGTGGTGATGACGTGGTGATGGTGCCGGTAGTAGTGATGGTGATGGTTGTGATGGTGCTGTTGGTAGTGATGGTGCTGGTAGTAGTGATGGTAGTAGTGATGGTGGTAGTGATGAATGTGAATATTACTGTGACAATGGTGGTCAAGGGTGGGTTGACTACAAAATTTTTGTAGTTCGCTATAACTACAGCTACTTCAAAAATATGTAATCAGCTACAACTACTGCTACTTTTGAACAAAGGTAGTTCGCTACTGACTACAGCTACTGCTTAAAAAATGTAGCGAACTATTTCGCTATTTCGCTACTCTATATTTTTTATTTTTACGGTATTTGAGCATCTACTAGCTCAAAATAATCTTTACTGTATAAAATAATCTTTTAAGCAAACCGTGTCTTAATATCATTCTATTCTATGAACAGTTGCTAACAATTTTAAAAAGTAGCGAATAGCGATTCGCTGTTTGAAAAGTAGTCAACTACTTGGCTACTTTTAGGCAAAATGCAGTTTGCTATAACTACAACTACTGTTTTAAAAAAGTAGTCAAAAACTACTGGCTACTTGAAAATTGTAGTTCGCTACAGTCGCGAACTACAACTACTTCGCTACTACCCACCCTTGGTGGTGGTGGTAATGGTGATGATAATTATGGTGACAATGATGATGGTGACGGATGATGATGGTAGTGGACCTGGTGGTGGACTTGACTAAACTATATAAATAATTCTAACGAGGAGAGAGCTCACTAGATGTGTTTTCCTTCAGGTTATTACATGTATATAGAGGCAACAGGGAAAAGTAGAGGAGACAAAGCTCAACTTCTCTCTCCAAGATATCCCAAGACAACTGGAAGATGTCTACAGTTCTGGTACCATATGTATGGCTCTGACATGGGAACACTGACTGTATATAAAAAGGTATGCTCCTAGCGTATCCACCAATAGTGAATTTTTCAAACTTTCTAAAATTGTTTGTACTTTGGTATAATCCAGAGCTTCAGTATTAATAAATTAAAATTTATTTTATGAATTGTGAGATCCATATCAGTACTTTGATAGCTTTTGAAGTATTTTTACAACGTTTAAATAATCACTATCTAGTGGATAGGTGATATCTTGATATATCTGACTTTGGACTACAATGTTACTGTCTATCGCCTCAAAATACAGTACATGTTACTATGTTATATGATTATATGACACACCTACTTGTCAGTTGTCACTTCAAACCTACGTTACAGATTAAGGTTACAGAACACCTTTGAGTGTTAATTTTGCCTAAAATTTTTTTATTGGTTTCCATGAAAGCATTAGACTAGTTCTACTATCTGACCAAGTTTGAACGAAAAATGTTGAATGAAAATGATTCGCAGAGTTATTTAATAAAATACATTTCGCTGCAATAAGAAAAACATTGAAAATGTAATATTCAAATTCAATTTTCTCCCGAAGAATTTTACGGCAATTACTGATTTTCAAACGGGTTGTGCTCCTGCGGGTTTTAATGAATTTCTCTCAAATTTTCACAGGACATAGCTAAAGACGTCAGTTTCAAAATTGTGTTCGGCTTTGTTCTAATTTTGGACATTTTAATAATAAACAGCAATTCACTCAAACAATTCAGAAATATATTGCGGTCGTCAAAGAAATCGCCATATCAGCGGAATGACGAAATAAACAAAAATTTCCGAACACAATTTTTTAGAACAACTATTTTACTCTTTAAAAATGATATTTTCATAAATGTAACTTAAAACCGGCAGGAGCACAACTCAAAAGCGTAACGGTACCACGATTTAAGATTTTGCTGAATAATTCTTACATTATTTTATTGTTTGTTAATTTTACAACTTTACCATATTTTACATGCACTGGCGAACATTTGGTGAAAATTTGATGAAAATCGGACTGATATTGAGCGCGCAGCAGCGATTTTCCACAAAACGCCAAAAAGGGTGTCCTGTAACCTTAAGTAATTGCACATTACAGCCTAATAGTACTGCTTAACAGTGAAATATTTTTCATTGTGTAATTTTCCTATTTCAGGTTCTAACTTCGGGGTCATCGTACAACATCCGTATCTGGTGGCGTAGTGGAGACAAAAGTAATATCTGGCGTATTGGTCGTGTATCGGTGTGGTCGTCAACGTATGATTATCAAGCCGTATTTGAAGGAGTTGTAGGCAGGAGTTTCCGAGGAGATATTGCCATTGATGACGTCAAGCTCTTGGATGGAAAATGCCCACCTGCAGGTTAGCTAATAGCGACCTTAAGCATGTAGGACGGGAACACGACAGCACGGCAAACAAACTCGTTGAACCAAATGATTGCAGAAGAAGTACCTGTCGTCTATTATCCATCGTATGAAAATAATAGAGTTACGGACCAAAATTAACAAGGGGTTTATCAGGAACGCCCGGAGCGAGGATAGGGCACAGGGGACAATGTTGACGTAAGGGGCAGTCACTAATTAGTATTTCGTTTCCGAAAATTTTTCCGGACCTTAATTCACCAAAACAAGGGCAAAAATTTTGAAACTTATTAACATAATGTTTGACACAATATTCCAGAAAAGTTCACGTATATTTCAATATTACGTCCATTTCACGCGTAATTCATACTTTTTAATCGTTGTACCTCATATTTTTTGGGGGAAGAACTTTTATCTAAAGAGGCGATGCCCCCCTTTCCGGCGTCCTGGGGTTTATGATTGAGAATAGTTCTAGGACCCAATAATTTAAAATAGCAGTTGTCCTAGCTTGAAATGTAAGCGTTCTATATCTGTATTTTGCCGTTGTAAAACAACGGCGACGTCTGAAACGTCCGCGGGATTTTAATTATTAATTTAGAGCTATGTAGATGTTAAGAAAGCTTGGAAATGCAGAAGATCCAAGCTCTCTTAATAATTCTATGAATTTCTTTTAGGTAATTGTGACTTCGAGAGTGACACATGTACGTGGACAAATTCTCTGGTTGGTGATACGTTTGACTGGAGACGTAACAAAGGATCTACGCTGAGTGGGTCGACCGGACCAAGTGTGGATCACACGAGACAAGATTCTTCAGGTACAAAAATGCTTTTGATGATTCCGATGGTTGGTTACAGTGCAGCATAGGCAGTGAGCTCCATATGTATAACTGCAGTGAGAACTCACGTCCAAAAAGTGAAAGCCCAATTAACTAAAATTTTGAACTCAACAAGTCTAGACAAAAATTTCATCACAGCTCGAAAGAGCATCACAAAATTAGTAATATTCCAAAGTTTCGTTGCAAAATGTTGTAAAATGCGGATAATATAGCCTTGCGAAGTTTGTAATTTTCAGTCATTTTGTATTACGCACAGAAGTGGTAACCATTTCCCGTTTGTAATCTAAAATGACTGAAAATTGCAAACTTCGCAAGGCTATATTATCCGCATTTTACAACATTTTGCAACGAAACTTTGGAATATTACTAATTTTGTGATGCTCTTTCGAGCTGTGATGAAATTTTTGTCTAGACTTGTTGAGTTCAAAATTTTAGTTAATTGGGGAATGGTCCATTGATATCCAGTGCCAGTCTTTTCTATTGTTTTGTCTGCGCGGTTAACACGAAGCTACCAGAAGTATGTACTTATTGTATTCGATAGAATCAAAATAATCATCACAATTGATATAATCGATGCAGTCAATATGATCAATACAAATGATACAATCACTCTCAGACAATTCCCATTATAGACTAATTTTAAAACTAGGCAAGGAGATGCGAATAAATCACCACAGCTAGAAATAGCATGCTATAAATGAGTAAAATTGCAAAGTTTGGTTGCGAAATGTTGTAAAATGCGGAAAATATAGCCTAGCAAAATTTGCAAATTTTGTATATGTTTGTATTACGTGCGGAAATTGTTACCATTTTCGGCTCTAAAATGGTAACAATCTCCGCATGTAATACAAACATATACAAAATATGCAAACTTTGCAAGGCTATATTTTCCGTATTTTACAACATTTCGCAACCAAGCTTTACAATTTTACTAATTTTAGTGTGCTCTTTCCGGGAATATACTTTTTTTTACCAAGATAAAAAATTTGTCTATAATGGGAATTTTCCATTGATACAATCCAAATTAATATAAATATCTCTTTTTTCTCAGGATACTATATGTACATCGAAGCATCCTCACCAAGAAGACGAGGGGACATTGCTTTACTGACATCCGAAGAGTTCTTCCGCACATCATCATCTGGTCGCTGCATCAAATTCTGGTATCACATGTATGGCAAGTCAATCGGATCTCTCAATATCTACTATAAAACTAACGTTACAAAACAAATCATCTGGGGTTTGAGTGGTCAACAGACAACAAACCGAGGCAGCGGGGGCTGGAAATTCGGACAAGCACCCATACGAAGCAATGTTGTTTATCAGGTATGGCTTTCGTTGATGGAAATTTCGATTTTCGAGTGTAAATATTATATGTGGGGCTTCGGCGGCGAAGTGGTTAGCGCACTTGCCTTTCACCTTTAAGGTCGCAGGTACAAGCCTCAATGAGGACTTCTCAATGTGACTCGAACCCAGTCCTCATGTGAAAAGAGTAAAAGTCAACGCTCTGCCGAAAGTCGTGGGTTTTCTCCGGGTACTCCGTGTTTCCTCCCACAGGGAAAGTTGACAGGGTGGGTTAGGCACATAGGTCTGGAGGCAGATCATTATAATGAGGTATGGACTAATAGCGGCAGCTGCACAAGCGCCATTTGTAAGCTCAAAGTCTACCTCGGTCTGATTCACGTCAGTCCGGTTCTATCTATCTATTCATAATGTAACCAGTCACTGAAAAGCCCTGATAGTGAGTGTGCTGTGAAATATCTGTATCTGTGTATATATCAGGGTCTTAGCCAGAATTTGCAACTTGGGTGTCCAAATTTGAAATTTCATTTATGACACCCATATTTTGCCATATGGAACCATGGCACCACTTCATGCACCAGTAATTCAATGTGCGGATTATTTCCCGAATGCTGGGAGTAATCGGTGACTGCACTTGAGAATCGCTCAAAAAACAAATAATATATTCAATTATTCAGACTATGTGACTACTCACTACACTGACTACAGTAGTACAGTTTAAGTAAATCTGCCAATATATTAATCTTATGATTGATATTATGTTGTCACTTTCATGCTATAAATACAGTACTTGTAGCTTTGATAAGCTATAGTGTGAGTGAAGAACACAACCAAAAAAAACAAAAAGCAACTAATTATCTTATATAGTTATATTCTACGGTTTTTGGCAGCTAGGCCTAGGAATCTTTGGTTTGGCAGGTTTACCGTCCAAAAGCCGTCTTTTTTAGAAGGCCGTCCAAATTTGAAAATGGCCGTCCAAAAGACGGCTGGACGGTAGGCTGGCTAAGACCCTGGACTATATATTTATTTACACCTAACCAGGAGCAGTTGCGAAAAATGCAACTATAAGCCCTCTTGCAGGAATCCAACCTGCGATTTAAGTGCAGCGCTCAAACCAACTGAGTCCAGTTGTCGAGCTCTGACCGCAAATTCATGTATATATATTCTAAGGTGATGTCAATGTAAGGTTTATCTGTAAATAACTAAATAGCAAGATTTGTTTGGGCATCTGGCTTGTTCACAACAGGCTTGTAGCAAGCTTGGCAACAAGTTGTAACGGTGCTGTTATTTTATCAAGTTGCTACAAGGTTGTCACTCACAACTTGTTGACAAGTTGTGTTCGCAACAGGCTCGTAGCAAGTTTGTCAACAAGCTGTAACGGTGCTGTTATTTTATCCAGTTGCTACAAGGTTGTCACTCACAACTTGTCTTGTGAGGACGATAACAAGTTGTTGGGACAACTTGTAACAAGTCTGTTGAGCTCAACAACCTTGTATCGAGTTATGAACAAGCAGTGCGAACACATCCTGTTGGCAAGTTGTTGGAACAGCATTGCTACAAGTCCACTGCATGTTTGTTACAAGTTGTGCATTTTTATGTTTGACGGCAAATCGCAAACCGCCAACTTCAAATTGTATTTTGAGGCCAAATGTCAGCTGTTCGAAGTTAGGACAATTTGTGCATTATTAATATTGAAGCATGAATGAGCTATTTGGCTTCGAAAATTAGTGGAACTTGCCTTCAAGGATTTGAAGTTTGATTGAAGTTTGCCGTTAGCTATCTGCTGTAAAAGTCAATCATAAGATATCTGATAAACAAGTTTCGATTAAAGTGAACTAAACAGCGATATATATATAATTTTCAATATAGATCATATTTGAAGGCATTATCGGTACAAGTCATACAGGCGACATAGCTGTTGATGACATTCGATTCACAACCAGTGCATGCTCAATACTACCATCATCTGTTACTGTTACACCTGCACCACCGCCGACCACAGTACCCACGATTCCAGGCTCAACACCAGGTAACATACGGTACTGAATAGTTGATACAAAGGGATACAACGTATTATATTCTAACTTTAATCCTATTCTTAATCATAACCACAAACACACCTCAATCATTTTCTAATCTCAACCTTACCCAAATTCCAGTGTATGTCTAGAAATGTCACAGCCAGTATATGTTGTAAATGAACAATTTCTCAAAAAGAATTTACTCTACAGGCAAATAATTCCAACAATTTTTTCTTTGGCAAACATAGCTGGGCAACCATACCACGTTTGGGAAACATGGCTGGGGAACAATGTTTCCTGATTTGTCCACCTTTGGGAAACATAGCCAGAAAGCATTGTTTCCTGGTTTGTCCACCTTTGGGAAACATGGTTAGGACTTGTCCACCTTTGTGGAACATGGTTAGGAAACAGTGTTTTCTGGTTTGCTAACCTTTGGGAAACATGGTTAGGACATGTCCAGCTTTGGTTAGGAAACACTGTTTCCTGGTTTGCTCACCTTTGGGAAACATGGTTAGGACTTGTCCAGCTTTGGTTAGGAAACACTGTTTCCTGGTTTGCTCACCTTTGGGAAACATGGTTAGGACTTTTCCAGCTTTGGTTAGGAAACACTGTTTCCTGGTTTGCTCACCTTTGGGAAACATGGTTAGGACTTGTCCAGCTTTGGTTAGGAAACACTGTTTCCTGGTTTGCTCACCTTTGGGAAACATGGTTAGGACTTGTCCAGCTTTGATTAGGAAACACTGTTTCCTGGTTTGCTCACCTTTGGGAAACATGGTTACGAAACAATGTTTTCTGGTTTGCTCACCTTTGGGAAACATGGCTAGGGATTGTCCACTTTTGGGAAACATGGTTTGGAAACAATGTTTCCTTGTTTGCTCATTTTTGGGAAACATGTTAGGAAACGCTGTTTCCTGGTTTACCCACCTTTGGCAAATATGGCTAAGAAACAATATTTCCTGATTTCCTACCTTTGGGAAATGTCACTACAAAAAATGGCCAGGAAACAATGCTCCCTAGTTTGCCCACCTTTGGGAAATATGGCTAAGAAACAATGTTTCCTAGCTTCGTCTGAGCCTTGCAATACAATGATATAACTTATGTTTTAGCTCCGTCTCCCTACGACTGCAACTTTGATGTGGGAACGTGTCAATGGACATATGATAGTACGGCTGACTTCCAATGGAGCCGCAAGAATCATGGCACACCTAGCACCTTCACTGGGCCTGACCATGATCACACGACCAATGATGGTAAGTGTGGATTGATGGGAATAATTAATCTCTGTACGGGCTGTTACTTATAGATTCATTGTTATTAGTAGGAGAAAACCTAAGCTGCTGTAACTACAGAAGAAAGTGGTACTACAGGAGGAAACTTAACTGAATTGCTCTTTCGGTTCTAAACTGTTCTTCCTAGAGGTTCATTAAGGATCATCTCTTATTGATCCAGTGTTACTACAGGAGGAAATTTAAACTAAACTGACTTGATTTATACTGAATAGCTCTTTCGGTTCTAAACTGTTCTTCCTAGAGGTCCAGTAAGAATCGTCTGTTATTGATACAGTGTTATAACAGGAGGAAACCTAAACTAAACTAACTTTATTTATACTGGATAGCTCTATCAGTTCTAAACTGTTCTTCTTCCTAGAAGTCCAGTAAGGATCATCTCTTATTGATCCAGTGTTACCACAGGAGGAAACCTAAACTGAATTAACTTTATACCTCTGTTGATTCTAAAGGACAAGCCTTGACGGTATAACAGACACCCAAACTGAACTAAATTTATTTGTTTTGGATTGTTCTATTAGTTAATCTTCTTTTCTCAGGAAGTGGCTACTATCTTTACCTTGAAACATCGTCACCAAGACAACCCAACGACACAGCTCGAATGCTTGGTCCCCAAATCCCGTCCACCAAACAGAAATGTCTTCAATTCTGGTACCACATGTACGGGCTTGACGTAGACTCTCTGAATGTCTATATCAAATCTGGAGGAAATCTTGGGAACCCTGTGTGGACACGTTCTGGCGACCAGAACGATCTTTGGCGACATGCTACCCTGTCTATCACAAGTCAGAGTCAGTTTCAGGTAGGTCTCCACTGACTGTGAAAAGAACCAAACTGTTCTTCCTAGAGCTTCAGTGAGGACCTTCCCTTGTTGATCCAGTGTTACTACAGGAGGAAACCTAAACTGAACTAAC